TTCGCACACATTTTACGCGCTCCGACTTGGCGGTTCCCCATGCCGAGAATTGATTTCTCCGGCTTGTGGCTTCCTGGCTTCCTGATTCGTATCCAGATTCTTTCGAAGTCAAGATCAGGCATTTGGGAGTTGCGACATCCATTTCGCACCATCCCCCGCAATGCCCAACTTACCCCTTAAAACTCCAAGCCCTGGGGAAGTTAATCTTTTACAGACATATAGCCCATGTTACCCAAAAAGTTGAAAAGTTGTGTTTTTAAGAGGTAAGTCAAAGACAATTCGAACTAAAAGTTGCAAGCTCACGAACAACGGCATGCGTCCTGTTGATTTCCCTGTACATCAACCCCAAAACGCGCACCCTTCCCCTCGACAAACGAATTTCCACGCCCCCCCAACAATGGCAAGCCGGTTTTCCCTATAGCCTCCCTTTATCACCCGCAAAAAGAGTTGCCTTCTCCCAACCAAGCAACCAACCAACCAACCAACCACCCAACCAACCAACCACCCAACCAACCAACCACCCAACCAACCAACCAACCACCCAACCACCCAACCAACCAACCACCCAACCAACCAACCAACCAACCAACCACCCAACCACCCAACCAACCAACCACCCAAGCAACCAACCAACCACCCAACCAACCAACCAGCCAACCAACCACCCAACCAACCACCCAACCAACTAACCACCCAACCAACCAACCAACGAACCAACCAACCAACCACCCAACCAACCAACCAACCAACCACCCAACCAACCACCCAACCAACCACCCAACCAACCAACCAACCAACCAACCACCCAACCAACCACCCAACCAACCAACCACCCAACCAACCAACCAACCAACCACCCAACCAACCAACCACCCAACCAACCAACCAACCAACCACCCAAGCAACCAACCAACCACCCAACCAACCAACCAGCCAACCAACCACCCAACCAACCAACCACCCAACCAACTAACCACCCAACCAACCAACCAACGAACCAACCAACCAACCAACCAACCAACCACCCAACCAACCACGCAGACAACCAACCACCCAACCAACCAACCAACCAACCAACCAACCACCCAACCAACCACCCAACCAACCAACCACCCAACCAACCAACCACCCAACCACCCAACCAACCAACCAACCAACCACCCAACCAACCAACCAACCAACCACCCAACCACCCAACCAACCAACCAACTAACCAACCAACCAACCACCAAACCAACCAACCACCTGACAACCCAACCACCCAACCAACCAACCAACCAACCAACCAACCAACCAACCAACCAACCAACCAACCAACCAACCAACCAACCAACCAACCAACTAACCACCCAACCAACCAACCAACCAACCAACCACCCAACCACCCACCCACCCAACCAACCAACCAACCAACCACCCAACCAACCAACCACCCACCCACCCAACCAACCACCCAACCAACCAACCAACCAACCACCCAACCAACCAACCACCCAACCAACCACCCAACCACCCAACCAACCAACCAACCAACCAACCACCCACCCACCCAACCAACCAACCAACCACCCACCCAACCAACCAACCAACCAACCAACCAACCACCCAACCAACCAACCACCCAACCAACCAACCAACCACCCAACCAACCAACCAATCAACTACCCAACCACCCAACCAACCAACCAACCACCCACCCAACCAACCAACCAACCAACCAACCACCCAACCACCCAACCAACCAACCAACCAACCACCCAACCAACCAACCAACCAACCAACCAACCATCCAACCAACCAACCAACCAACCACCCAACCATCCACCCAACCAACCACCCAACCAACCACCCAACCAACCAACCAACCAACCAACCACCCAACCAATCAACCAACCACCCAACCACCCAAGCACCCAACCAACCAACCAACCAACCAACCACCCAACCAACCAACCAACCAACCAACCAACCAACCACCCAACCAACCACCCAGACAACCAACCACCCAACCAACCAACCAACCAACCAACCAACCACCCAACCAACCACCCAACCAACCAACCACCCAACCAACCAACCAACCACCCAACCACCCAACCAACCAACCACCCCCAAAGTTTTGCAGCCCCCTTCCCTCGCGGATCTCCCATCGCAACCACATCCGCACGCCGAGAAGCTCCACGAAGAAGATCGCGGAGTCCGGCAGCTGCTGCGCCTCCGCAAAGACCTGCGCCGCTGGGCTGCCCGATTTCTGATCCCCCGGCTGAGAGTGGACAACTTTTAGTCCATGGGTTTGGTCAAAACCCGGTATCAAACTGGGCTGCCCGATTTCTGATCCCCTAAAAGTGACTAACTTTTCGTGGGTTAGATACGGAAACTACCACTAAACACTGAAAAGCTTCAAGGCTAAGGAAGCGGATGGCTGGGAGCCACCAAGAAAAGGAGGGGTCCTCGTTGCGTTTGGCGCGCCGCGACTTTAAAAGCATTGGTGGCCCTTCTGGAGAAAAGTTGATGGATGTCCCCCATTGCTTTGAGCTGGGGCAAAAAAAAAAAGCCACCCCAAATCACAAAGTCTGATTTCCCACAGCATGTTTTTCGGCCATAAACTAGGGGTGCATACCAGGGGTTCATATGTAAACGTATACATTCAGCCTTTGAAAAGCTGCAGTAAAAAAAACATCCCAACCTTTTCCTACTGTGGACGGAAAAAATCCATGTCGCACCACCTTTCAGGACCATGGAATGATGCGATTCCCCTGGAAAAAGACCAACAACAATCATTTCAGCCATGGTTTCCGGATTTCGCAACCATCCACAGGCTTCCGTTCGCCTGCGGCTCCACAACTTTGGAAGTATGGACTCTAATGCAAAGGGGGGCTGGGGGGGTCTGAACAAAGGGATGCAATACACAACAAAGAAAGAGGTGTGCGTCTGTTTGTTTGTATGTTTAATGGTTGTTTCTGTTTGCTTGTTTGATTGTTCTTGTTTGTTTGTTTGTTTGTTTGTTTGTTTGTTTGTTTGTTTGTTTGATTGTTTGATTGATTGTTTGGTTGGTTGGTTGGTTGGTTGGTTGGTTGGTTGGTTTGTGTGTTTTGTTTGTTTGTTTGTTTGTTTGTTTGTTTGTTTGTTTGTTTGCTTGTTTGTTTGACTGTTTGACTGGTTGACTGTTTGACTCTTTGACTGTTTAATTGTTTGATTGATTGATTGATTGATTGATTGACTGATTGATTGGATTGGATTGGATTGGATTGGATTGGCTTGGCTTGGCTTGGCTTGGCTTATTGATTGATTGGTTGATTGATTTTCTTTTATCTTTGTTTCCTTTGCGAACCAAGTGGAGGAGTGTTTATGATCGAGATGACGTGCAAAGGCTAAAGCCGTGGTCTATGCCAAACTTGGGCTGCCTCGCACCTCATCTATACCAACTCAGCGCTCGCAAACGTTCGGCCCGCCTCGATGGCGCTCATGCGCTCGTGCCAGAGTTGACTCTGTGAGAAGGTCACCGCAAACTGAGGCTTCTGGGGCCCATCGGAGATGATCTCCATGTACCTCGCGGAAAAAAATCCGATCGGTCACCCCCAACTCCAGGCCTGGCTTGCTTGCTGCACAAAGACATGTGCTATGTGTATATGCACATGCATGGATTTGTGTATCTGGGTCCTTGCACGTGCACGTCGTGTCTGTCCCCCCCCCCCCAAAACCAGCCCAACCCCCTCCTCTCGCTCCCCCCCCCCCCCGCCTAACCCCCTCCTCCCTATTGCGCCGTGCCACGACCCAGGGCCTTCGCCCTCCCAGACCATCGCGGTTTGGAACTTGATCCACGCCGCCACGTGCTCGATCGTCAGCTCCTCGTAGCACAACGACTGGCCCTCATCCAGGCTCAGGTCGTCGCCCCTGACCAGAACTTCAGGGAGGCCCTAGGTTCCTTGTCCTTGGGACCCAGTTTGGAGGATCCTGAACGGCAAAAATCCGGGTGAGGGTATGGGGTTTTTTGGAGATGCTATACAACGCCATGCAAGCCGGCATAGGAAAAAAAACCTATAAGTGGCAAGCTCCGTACCTCCAAGACCCATGAACGTGTCTGTGAGTGGCTAAGGTCTGATATGAACGCCACAAAGGCTAGCGGCATATGTGAACATTGCTAAAGGTTCTGGTATGAACACCATCATCCAGGTTAACCGCAAATGAACCCCTATACATGCACCCCTGGTATGCTTGGGTCCTGAGCACGTCAAGCGGGCACTGCCAGGCAGCGCTGAGTGGAACCACCTACAACGGCCAATAGGAATTTCAGTTTTGGGCGCTGCTTCTCTGGGGTAGGGGCGTTCATCTGTGACTCGCAGATTGAAGCCACCTACCGTCTATGGTCTGAATCTGTGCATCTGTGCACTTCTGAATATGCCAGTCCGAGATGCCATGGGCATTCCTCCTCGTCGTCCTCTGACCAGGGACAACTCGACTCGAGCTTGGCCGACATCACACGCAGCTGGTTCAGCGTCACCCCCCGCAAAGCCACCTCCTTGGCTCGGTGGAAATGGCGAAAGTACACCGTTTCCTTTGGGTGACGCTTGGGCGAAAGTAGACAGGTTTTATAAAACCCAGTGGGTTGGTGTTTAATAATTAAATAAATGCAACCCAATGGTGTAAAAATAATAACAACAAAGAGAAGGGAAAAACAAGGGGGAAAAAACTACCTTTCCCCCCACCCTCTACCCCCAACAAAGTTGGTATAGGTCTCTCGATACAGTCTTGGGCTCCATGTTCCAACTGAGTTTCTGTGAAATCAAAGTGGGATTCATCCTTTATGAAGGCTGAATGTCATTCGGAAGCGAGGGATGTCCCTTCAAAGGGGAGAACCAGGGGCTTTCGGAAAGCACATGTTGCCCTGGGACTGGCTTCGTCCTGGTTCTCGGGCTCAAAAAAGCCCCCCCCCCCGTGCCATGTTTGTGGTTGTCTTCGGAGCTCCTGAATAGTTTCTTCGGCTTGTGAAGCATGCAGCAAACTGATGCTTTTATTGTCTTGGGGTTCCCAAGATAGTTTGAACTCTAAAGTTTCGAGCAGTGGGTCTGAAAGAAGGTCGTGACCAAACATTGGCTCGTAAATGGTATAAGAATTACCATCCCCAGTTGTTCCAGTTCCTTCCCCTGAAGGGCATTGAGTACAGTGCACCATCCCAAAACTACCATCCTCAGTTATTGTAGGAGAGAGAATTCCTCCAGTCGAAATCGCTGGATTTCAAGGTCGCGATGTACTTTGCACAAATGTTTCTTCCGAACGACAATCCTTGAACGAAGTCAATGAGGCATAGTCATGCTAAGTAAGCTCCATTTGCTTAAGCCCACTGGGGAACAAAAGTCCCCCAGTGATCATTTCCCTTTAAAACCAACAGGGAAAAACAAGACATATGCGTTTGAGCAACTGCAAGAACCGCGGCCTTCATGGTTTTGGGGTCTTTGTGGGTGGGGTTCACCGCGACCCGCGCAAAAGTCCAGAGACTCCTGTTGACGGAAGAAGAAAAAAAACGGCGGCCAAAAGGCGAAATCCTGAAACGTGGCTTTCTGGATCCAAGGGCTCCCGATACCTACAGACCAGTCCCCCAGTCGTGGAAGGCCCAAAGGCAGAAGCAGCCAAGCAAGGCTGTTTTCCACTGGCTTTGGGGTGGGTCTTCGGAGACGGGACTTGCACTTCGATGACACCCCACTGAAGTGGCTCATCTTCAGTTCATGAGCACCAATCTCGTGGGTTAAATGTAGCCTAAGGCCCGCTTAGATGGAATATGAACCACTTACTTTCTGCGGCGGTCATCCACGCAAATGGTTGGCAGGTTATTACCCCGAGATGAGTGGGGGGACTGGTCCCTGGTACCCAGGGAAAAGAAAGCCCTGGTTCATTCATGAGGGGGGGGGGGGCTTTTTGGGACGTGCCCCTTTTTTCAACAGGTTGATTAGTCCAGGGGCATGGCTGGGATTACACCCAGCTACAAAAGCGCCACCGAACTGAGTCCAGTTTGTCTAGGTCCTCCAGTAGAGAGGTTAGAACAAGGGTACCCACTTTTTTCTGTAGTCTATTTTAGTAGGGGAACCCTCCCCCAAAAAAGAACAAAGGGGCACTACTGGGGACCTAGTTGTGCAATCCTAGCTAGAATGCCCTCCAAACGAGCATGGGATCATGCACCAATGGATCCAACTTTTCGGGCAGATCGATCTCGGGTTTGGAAGGTGTTCAGTTGCGGATCTCTGGGAATAATGGCAACGGCGCCCGGATTGAAACAGCCGGGTGTGGGAAGACAGCAAGCACCCCACCGTTTTGGACCCCCACATAAGGGAACCCTCAAAATGGCTTGTTCCCTTTTCCCAAGAAGGGTACCCCTCGCCGAACAAGCCACGCCGTGAGTCTCCGGAATTCGGCCGAGTCTCCGCCACTGTGCAGCCCTTGGGCTTCTTCGGCAAGCCCAAGGTTGCCATGACGCGCAGGCGCCTCGCATCCCATGACATCCCGCGGAAAAAAAAAAGAAAGAAAGCGCGCCCGACCCGTCCCCATGTGAGTCACAACCAAACCCGGTATTAAAAATGGTCCACCCAACACCACGTAAAGAAATAAGAAGGCGGCCGCAACTATTTATGGCTGGGATTGTCCCTTAGTCAAATTCATCCACCCGGGTTCTGATTGTGGCTCATGTAGCGATTGACTGCTGCACCGAAAGTGCTGTGTTTTGTTTCTCCGCTGGTGTGTCCCCGAGAAGCCGAGCTAAGATGCAAACGGAAAACAGCCGCCAGAAGCAAAGAATACAAACAGGTAAACCCTACTCGAAAAAGCATTTGCCAAGTTGCCCCAGTCACCCTGGTAGAAAAAGGGATTCCTTCCTATCCTTGACCCATTTTTGGCTTACGTTCCCTTATTTTCAAGGCTCCTGACCATGGTTCTAGGGGTTCAGTCCTTGTCCATTCCTTTCAACCATCGTTCTTTTCAAAAGCCGGATCCGTTTTCCCTGGGATTCTGGAGGTTTTCTAGAACGAAAAACGGGATCCCTGGGTTTAGAATGGAAATGGAATTGGCACCCCTAGAGCTGTGGGTCAAATATATATATATATATATATATATATCTTCAGGGATCAATGACCATCCCCACCTCAAGGGGTGTTTTTCGACCACGGCACACCCACCTACCCTCCCTCAATACATGGGGGTTGATCAAAAGGTCCGTGATACATGGGGCTACATTGGGGGAAACCACCCAAAAGGTAAAAATAAAATCCCCGTAATGCTAAAAGTTGCCCATGGTCAAAACTGCCCCCCCCCCCCCCAATTGGAATATTGATCAACCCCTGGAAGTGCGTGCCGTTCCCCTTGCAAGACAGCAAAGTCAGCAAGGCACACCATCATGTTCAGGTGCTCGAAACGCTTCGCGTGCTTCCGGAAGAGGTTCGCCTGGCTCCGCATCCCCGGCCGAATCGGTGGTTGGGTAGTTTGGTGGAGGGGTGTCCCAAAGCCCAGGAACCTCAAATCCACATCCAGACCAATCGAAACCAATCCAAACCGATCCAAACCGATCCAAACCGATCCAGACCAATCCAAACCAATCCAAACCGATCCAAACCGATCCAAACCGATCCAAACCGATCCAAACCGATCCAAACCGATCCAAACCGATCCAAACCGATCCAAACCGATCCAAACCGATCCAAACCGATCCAAACCGATCCAAACCGATCCAAACCGATCCAAACCGACCCAAACCGATCCAAACCGATCCAAACCGATCCAAACCGATCCAAACCGATCCAAACTGATCCAAACCGATCCAAACCGATCCAAACCGATCCAAAGCGATCCAAAGCGATCCAAACCGATCCAAACCGATCCAAACCGATCCAAACCAATCCAAACCAATCCAAACCAATCCAAACCAATCCAAACCATCAAACTACGTGTTACCTGAGACTTGCTCATGGCACATCACTTCTCTCCCCAGTTGCCCCATACGGCCCCTAGCAAACTGCAGGTGGGTTTTGGGCCCCAGACTGACAGAACCTGCCACCTGCGAAGTGGAAAAGCACTTGGGGTAAGAGGGAAAGCTACAGCCGGACACATCTCCGGACAAAACCCATGGACAACCAGGAATTACAAGGATACCTCTAGGGCTTGATTCCTTCCAACCATTCTTTTCAACCATCGCTCTTTTCAAGAACCGGATCCGCTTTTCCCGACTTTCTGGAGGTTTAGAAAGATTCGGATCCCTGGATTTAGAATAGAAATGGAATTGGCACCCCTAGAGTGCCACTCAACTGGCCTCCTGGTACCTCATAGGGTCCAAGTCAAAGCCAAAGCGCGGCAATGGATGAAACGGGTGTGGGTCAAAAGAAGATTGAGCCCAATTTACCCCTTAAAACTCCAAACCCTGGGGAAGTTAATCTTTTACAGACATATAGCCCATGTTACCCAAAAAGTTGAAAAGTTGTGTTTTTAAGAGGTAAGCCAAAATGGAACCCTGAATGGAAAGGAAGGCTAAAACCAGCGGTCCCTTGGTGGTTTGGGTTTGACCACTACCCAAACCAACCCAATCCCATCCATCCCAACGGGTGCGGTTTTTGCGGATATTGTCCATCTGTACTTAGTTACTTGGAGGACAAAATGGAGTCAAAGTACTGTCTGAGATACTTGGACACGCGAACCCTTTCAACATTTCTCAAAAGAAATGTTCTTGACACCAGCTTTGCCACCACTCGGATCATATCATTCCGGGGATCCTCCCCAACATATTGCCGTGTCTGATGGGGAAACCAAGGCTGGGTGTCCAATGGCTTCCCTGGGAACTAACAGAACTGCCATACGCTAAAACAGGCTTACCTGAAGCCATCTCAAAAGCAACCCAGCCATCGCACTCGGCTGGGCAAACTCTTGAAAAAAGCCAAGTTTGCGATAGCCTCCAGTCCATATTCATGCAAACGAATCAGGGGTCCCTTTGAAGCAAAATGGCCTTCCAGGAAATATCTTTGACGCGCTTGTCACATTCAAGGGGAGCCCTCGGCCAAAACAAAACACTCCGTGTCTAACCTAAGGAGAACAAGCCATTGCACACCAAACCAGATTTGAAAACAATTCAAAGCAAACCTCACCAAGCCAAGTGCAAGTAACACAAGACAGGACAGTACAAACAAAGTCAACAAACCAAAGCAAAGCAACCCAAACAGTCCAAGCCTGAAAAACCAAACCAATCAACCACAAACCACTGCGAATCTATCCAAACCAAATCTCCAACAAACACGAAGAAAGCTGCAGCAAATCCAACCGAGCAGAAACAAATCAAATCACACAAAAGAGAGTCTTAGCAACAAGGGTGTGGATGCACCACCTCGGACCTAATATAAAACCTGGAATGGTGGCTGCCCTGCAAATACCAGCAGACAATAGTTGCAACCGTTGTTTCCCAGGTGGTGCGACATGGATTTTGTCCATCCACTGTATCTGTGTAGATTGCTACAAGTCCGAAACCGGAAAACCACCGGAAACCCTTTGTGAAGGACTTTCATGGGTGAGCGCGTTTTTCTTTTCAGGGGAGCTCGTCTTTTCGCAAACTAAGGCGTGCCATGGTTCTCAACATGGGCAAAAAAGACATGGGTGGCTCGTCCTGTATTGAGAACATCCCATTCTGGCTGGTTTGAACGGAAACCAAACGGAAAACCACCATTTTGGAGGCCCCCTAACAAAACACAAACTCAAATGCTTGGCTTCCCGTCGACTTCCTTACAAAAAGCAGCTCCCAAGGACGAACCCAAAACCTACGTTTCAAGGATTCTACCGACCCCCCAAAAAAAAGAAAAGAACGGACCAACTGTTCTAGCCCTGGTTACTTCCTCCGATTCGGACTTGGGTCTTGGTGGTCTTTGGGGACCCTTGTTCCCAAAGAGGGAAACCCCCCTCCAACAAACACTTCGACCACAAACGTCATCACCACCGGGCTTTGTGTTTTCTTTGGTGGTCGCTCCCCCCAGAAAAAAACAAAACCGATTCGACTGATTTGGGTGTGGCTCAAAGTTAAACAGGAAAAGTTGCGCAGGTTGTGGTCCATGTTTCCACTTGCCAGGGTTCCATTTTGGTACTGCCTGGATCGCCAGTTGCGATCGCTTTTTTCCATGAGCTTTACCCCAAAAACCAGCAACAGTGACTGAAAAAAGCGATCGCAACTTGGCTATCTAGGCGGTTCTTTTGAGCCCACGCCCATGTGTTCAACTGAGGCCTCGTGCGCGAACTCCTTCTCGCCGCTGGAGCGCATGGCCCCGTGGGGGTCCAGCGCGTCGCTGGACAGCTGGGGCCGGCCCATGTTGTCGAGCACCAGCTGCCCCTCCTCGTCCTCCGAAAAGCAGAACGAGGACTAGGGCATGTTACCCATGGCTTTGCGGCCGAGTATGGTTGGTTTACTTGCAATACTTAGGTAATCCACCGAATTTCCCCCTAGAAAAGACCAAAGAAGAGAAAACAGGACATGTTAGGGCCCGATGGGCATGGGTCAAAATGAAACCACACCGTAGATCTTGATCCATGCTTCCATGGGTGCGAAATTGGGGTTGCCCTATTTGTGACGAACAACCCGATTTGTGACCAGAATATCTGGGCAGCCCGATTTCTGATCCCCCGCTAAAAGTGGACAACTTGTGGGTTAAATGGAAACTACCACTAAACACCAGAAAGCTAAAAGGCTAAGGAACCGGATGGCTGGGAGCCACCAAGATGACAATGCTGCGTCTGTGACTTGCGATCGGTGCGAAATCGGTAGGGAAGGTGGGAGTGAATGAACCCGAAATTTCCCCTTGAAGGAAACCACCAGTTGGATGGTTAGTTCCGGGGTCATTCCGATTCTCATTCTCGTGCTGTGCGCCAGCAAGCTGAGAGCTTCTCAAAATAAGGATCCCCTAAAATGGGGTTTGGTGCTCCTTTGGCACGTAAACCCATCTTGATCAGGGATTCTTACATTATACACCTGAACATTGCCTTGTAAATGGTAGGTTCCCTTTATTTTGGCGGAAAAAGCCACATGTTTCAAATGGTTGCAAAATGAATTTCTTTTAAGGAGCCCTGTTGATCAACTCACACGTCGCTCCCCGAGTCTCGTTTTCGCTTTGGACTTCGGAGCCTTTCGACTGGCGTTTCTGCCAGGCCGTGAGCAGAATGGAGTGGTCTTGAGCTTCTGGGTCCCAACCCCGGGCAACCCGAAAAAACTCAAAGGGGCGATCAGGTACTTAGTAAGTGGTTAGTAAGCAACTGATCATAACCCCCCCAAAAAAAAGAAAAAACAAAAAGCACTTATAGCCATGATAAGTGGGTTATAACCAGGCTTACTAACCACTTGCTAAGTCAATGCCACTTTAAGTAAAGAACCCTAGGCCTCTCAACTGCCCACCGCCCTTGTCCTTTCGCCCTCAATAAGAAGCTTGAGGCCAAACAGGTGGCCAAACAAAAAGGCTCAACACGTGGAGATGTTTGGCGAGGGGCTTGTACAGTCCCTGAAGAAAACTCGTTGCGAGCACTTGAAGGGGCAGGATTACTAATAAAATAGTAAGCCTGGTTATAACCCACATAGGAGACTTATAACCATGGTAAGTCGGTAAGCCAGCGGTTTCCCGAAAACCACTTCGGTGACTTTGGTATGGGGCCAGAGGCAAGATTAACAAAAAGCCAACCAGATGGGGGCGGGCCCCGCATCCCGGAATCTGAGAAGAGGATCGGGGTTTGCAAAGGTAGACAGGTCCGATCCCGTAAGTCGATCCGGAAACCGGGTCCGCTACCTCGCTTGCAACCCAAACAGAATGGATGAAATCCACCGGGTCCTTGGACCCCGCAAAAACCAGCTGTCAAGGGGCGGACCCGGACGCTCGGGCAAAATGAAACAGCTGCTACACCCCAGATAGCAACCAAAACTTGGGTGCGTCTTTTGTTGTGGTACCCCTTTTTCGTGGCAAAGGGAACCGAATCGTTGCGCCATGTTGTTTGTGAAGGGGATCTCGAAGCAGCGCCCTGTGCTCCGAGAGAAGTTGCTGGCGAGTCCAAACCCTAACGACGAGCCACTCATTTGGCTGCGGCTCAAAAAATGGTACCCCAATGGCACCTTGGATGGAGCCAAAAACGAACACCTCCGGTTTGCCCTAGCTCTTGATTTTTTTGCACACCCACCAAACAAAAATGGAAGGACACTAAACTAAACTGTTCGGATGCGGCACCAAACCTGTTGTCTGGTCCAAGGTTAACTCAGCTTCACCTGGGCCTCGCTACCACTATCCTACGAATCTAAGCCACACCCCATTTGGCTTCCCCGAAAAAAAAGAAAGAAAAAAACAAAGAAAAAAACACAGAAAACAAAAACAAAGAAAAAAACACAGAAAAAAAAACACAGGGGAAAAAAACACAGGAAAAACACACAGGGGGAAAAAAAACAGAAGAAAAAAACAACTCGGCACCCCAAACACATCGTCCAACCTCTCCTTCTCGAGGCCCTCCAGCTCGCTCACCTGGGCCATTTATGCCGATCTTTCCACCCGGAAAGGACCGGAAGAGGACCGCTGTGCGACGAACCCAGGGGATTGGCCCCACAAGACTTTGCTTGGCGATTTTTCCGCCACCCTTGGACCATGTGACCAACCCAGGGAATTTGCCTTATATCACCAAAAGTCGTTGGATACACCAGGATAAACCCCGAACCCCCCTGCAAAAAAGAGGGGAGTGGCTTGTATCACAGAAGTCGTTTTACAAACCAGGATCAACCCCTTGAACCCGCAACCCTGGTGTTGGGAAAAGACCGCGCTGTTCAGATCACCGAAAGAAAACTGTGAATGGATAGCCAAAGGGTCGTCTGTGAATGGATGGATGCGAAATCCGCGAGCCTCGCACCATGGTTGATGAAACCATAACGTTTGTTGGTATTTACATTGGGGAATCGAGTCATTTCAGGGCTTCTGAAAGGAGGTGAAATCGAAATGGATGTCGAAGCCATCCACCGCATAGCCCATGGGTACGCGTCAAGATTAAACCATCACATAGACCGCAGGTTTGAGTCCTGGGTTCCGTTTATCAGGGCAACCCATTTTGGGGTTGTCCGATTTTTTTTGACAACCACGGCCATATGGTTGTCAGAGGGAGAATCTCCCCCCCCCCCTCCCCCGAAAAAGGAAGAAAAACAAAGCTGGACCTTAGGCAGGTGCGTTCTTCGGCATTGGCGTTGCCACCTTTTGGTAGGCCATGGACAACCGGACCCGAAGCACGCAACAAATACGTTTAGACTCAGATTCATTCTGTGGATGGTCGAATTCCATTTCGCACCACGAAATGAACCACGGTTGAAACCACAACGTTTGCTGGTATTTGCAGGGTGATTCGGAATCACCATTGCAGGGTTTCTGAAAGGTGGTGCAGGGGATTTCGTCCATCCACGGTATTAGTCAACCTTAAAAACTGACCAGCCATGAGTTTGCTCATATAGAACACCGAAGTGTTTGTTCACATAAACTTTGCTGATTTGTCCAAACCAAAGTTGAACTCCAGATCTTCAGAAAACCCTCAAGGCGCCGGGTCTTCCGCGCCTTGGCCACGTAGTTCAAGATCTGGCGCCGGTAGGGCGGGTCCGAGGCCTCGCCTCGTCGAGGCTCGTTGGGGACGGTTCCCCCCGGATTTCGGATTTGCGGGGCTCGTCTTTTTTTGGAGACCCCAAAATGATTGGCCTCCTTTTGGCGTCCCAACAAAAAGCCAAGAATCAAGATTCCCTCAAAGAGGGGTTCGGTTTTTTTTAGCCGAGGCGGAAGTTTCGGTGATTCTTTCGGAAGGGCTTTCCATTGATCCTCTACCAAAGCCAGGGACCCCTTCAAATCCAAATCCTTTTTCACCAATCCAAACCACCAACTAAGGGGCTTCCGACGTTTGGTGTGCTCCAGAACTCTGCGTGGATGTAAAAACACTGAGGTTGTAACTTGTGGTTCTAAGTGAGGCAGCCGTTGGTAGAGACAATGGTCACTAAGCCGGTTGAACATTCAAGTACATCATCTTCTCCAGACTGCACCAAACTCCCCGGGCTTAATCATATTGTGGATGGACAAAATTAAGCGCCAGTCGGGATGGATGAAGCCCTGGAAATACTGCGATACGCCGCTGGTGCAGGATTTTGTCCATTGGGGCTGACCAATTCAGCAAGAGTCGGATTTGAATTCCCTATCTACTTCCACGCTGATCCTGACGGAAGAGAGAATAGGAAGAGACCCGGGACAGGGAGGAGGTTCCTCGGTGGCTTTCCATGGAAACGCCGCTCTCTTTTGCTTGATTGGCTGTGGCTCAGAAAACCGGTACCAAAATGGAACCCTGTTAAGTGGAAAAATGGACCAAAACCTGCGCAACCCCCCACACCCCCCCCCCCACACCCCCCCACACCCAAGAAAAATCGGGAAACGAAGGCACTGACGTGAGGCAGCTAGGGGAGGCTAGGGGCCTTTTGTTTGCGTCTCAGAAGCCCAGGGGCGAAGTCTGCCAGGAGGGGCGCCGGATGTCTCGTTGCTGGACTTTAAAGGGAAACCCTTCCCAATGAAATGGAAAATGGGATGCCATGTTCTTGGTCTGGGAAACTGGGTGTGGAAAAATCCACCTCAAGCTGAGTCGTGGCGGAAGACATACACGTCTGTGATACCAAACTACTTTGCAGCCGGAACATGGCGACCCGAACCCAAGCTCCCACCATGACGTGGGTCGTCTTTGGAACCCTGCTTTACCCCAGGTGGACAGAATTCAGGCGGCTGATTCGTGTGTGCGAAAATGGGGAACCCTCGAAATGGTGGCTTTCACGTTGGCTTCCCAACTTAAGCCAAACTTGAACTGGGGGCCCGCCCTTCAAACGCAACAACAGGGCAGCTTCCCTAGATCCACCAAGACAACAACGACAAAACGGGTGAGGGGTTCCTTCTCGCGGTCGCAAGCTTGGCGTTGCTCGTTTTTTTTTTGGCATGATGTTGCAACTTTGTTGGCCACGATCAAAACTCAGTATGTGGTCCACGTCGTTTTTTGAGGGTACTCTAAAGAAAGACACACTCACACATTGGGTGGTCAAAAAATTGGGACCCTGCACCCACATGCTCCCAAAAGAAAGGAAAGGAAGCAACCCACTGGGCATCCGCACAAACATGTAGTATAAGTGGCTAAGAAATTTGATATGGGGTTGTGGGCACTTCAAAACCATATTTAGCCATGAAAATGGCATAAACTATGAAGCACACATATTGTGCCCTCATGTTACCCTTATCTTACCCACCCTCATGTTTCCCTTATCCCTTTTTGGCCTTTGAACGGCGGCAACGGGGTCAAAGGGCCCCGAACATTCATAAAATTAATATGCGGGCGGTTTTTGCCCCCGCCAGAAGTCCGCATTTCAGCCAGGGAGAAGCACCCCCATGCTAATGAACAGAAATTCTGCTGAATCCGCGGGTCAACATTAAACCCTAACTGGTGGTTGGGATTGGTTTGGCTTTGGATTCTAGGTCCTCTAGTAGAGAGGTTAGAATAAGGGTACCTTGTTTTCTGTAGTCTATTTTAGTAGGGGAACCCTCCCAGCCAAGAAAGGGTAAGAACGGGCACTACTGGGGGACCTAGGATTTGAACCCAATCCAAACTGGGAACCAATCCAAACCACCAACTGGGAATTTGTGCCAATCCAAACCAACCAGAGGGAACCAATCCGGGGTCCATAACCCCAGTTTATTTATATTATGAGGCTGACACCCCCATATGAAAAAACAGGGGGGGGGGGGTCTGCTTCCGAAGTCAACATTAAACCCTAACTGGTGGTTTGGATTGGTTTGGATTTGAAGCCGTTTGGGCGTGGCCCGAGTCCGAGTCGAATCGATCGAGGCGCTGGTGCGGATGTCCCAGTTCTTCACCGCCTCCACCAGCGGACCCCCCGAGACGTAAGTGGAACCCACGCGCCCCGCGGAGGTGTACAGCGCGAAGTCGATCTCCTGAGCTCGGATCGAAGGGAGCGAGCCGCTTCTCGCGGGGCGTTCTGGGCCTTTTTTTTCCACCTGAAAACCCGCCCCTTTGGGCGAAACCCAAAGGCGCGTTAAAAAGGGCGGAGTTGCCCGGTGAAACCCCAAGGCTTTGCGGAGATCAAAGGTGAAACCCGCCTCCTTGGTGGACCCCGGTGCTTTGGAGCCGAAAATGGCACCCTTCATGTGTTCGTCGCCACCTTTTTGGGGCAAAAGTTCGCAAAACATAGCCCCTAAACTACTCAACTTGGTGGCTCCCTAGGGTTCTGTTTCGTTAGTGGGCAATTTGATTGGAACCGGTCCATTGCCCAAAAATGTGCGGTTTCCCATACCAACCAAAAAAGGGGGCCACTGTTTTGAGAAGGTCCCTTTTGGTGTTCTGTTGTGGGTGTTGCTGTGTTTGTTGTGCTTGTGCTTTGACTTTGTATGTGTTATTGTAGTTTGCTTCTAGTTTGTTTGTTGTTGCTGTGTGTCTGTTTGTGTATTATGATGTTTGCTGTGTATGTGTGTGTGATGTTGTTTGTACTCTTTATTGCTGTTTTGTGTAGTTATGTTGTGTTGTTCTTGGTTTGATTTGGTTGATTTGGTTGGTTTGGTTTAGTTTCGTTGGTTTGTTTGGTTGTGGTGTTTTTGTTTCTTTGGTTTGGTTGGTTTGCTTGGTTTGCCTGGTTTGGTTGGGTTGCTTGGCTTGTTTGGGTTGCTTGGTTTGCTTGGTTTGCTTGGTTTCCTTGGTTTTCTTGGCTTGCTTGGCTTGCTTGGCTTGCTTGGCTTGCTTGCTTGCTTGCTTGCTCGCTTGCTTGCTTGGGGACCGGTAGGCTTTTGTTGTTGATCTCGGAAAACTTGACAGACCTGCGAACGTTTTGAGGCTCTCCAGAAGATACTGTACATCCAAAACCACCTGGTTCAGGGTATTACAATGGTCTACCCAAATCCATCCCAAAAAAAAGACAGCGAAGGCACCATTCCCTCGCTAAAACTCCCCAGAACCTTCATCTTCCAGGGTTTTGATTGTGGCTCAGTTGAGATTGAGCTTGCTGATCCTCAGCAGAAAAAACATGAGGGAATGACACTTGTAAACAAGGGAATCCCCTTTCGGTTCATTCCCAAACCCTGGGTCATTCCCTACCTACTGTGGATGGTTGTGAAATCCGCTTCTCGCACCACCTAATTAAGACACCCTGGATTGGCGATTCCCCGACGAAAATTCCCACAAACTTCATGGTTTCAACAAACTCCCATCCCTACTGACGAAACTCTGCACCACCCAAGAAACCCTGGAATGATTCGACTCCCCTGCAAATACCAACAAACAATGGTTTCCCATAGTTTCATTTCGTGGCGCGAGACTCGCGGATTTTGATTTCAACCATCCATATCGCACCAGGACCTCGGGAGCTTGGACCCAGAAACCCCCGACTTCCCTTCCAGCTCATCCCTTTCCAGCCCGTCATTCCCTACTGTGGATGGACAAAATCCGCTTCTCGCACCTCTTGGAAACCATGATGAAATGATTGTTTGTTGGTATCTACGTTGGGGAATCGTATCATAAACCATGGTTTCTGAGTTCGGTGGTGCGATTTCTGGATTTCGCAACCATCCACAGTATCACTGCCAGAGGTAAGCTAGGTCCTCCAGTAGAGAGGTTAGAATAAGGGTACCCTTTTTTCTCTAGTCTACTGTAGTAGGGAAACCCTCCCCCAACAAAGGGGTGAGAGGTCGAGCACCAATTGCTGGGGGACCTAAGAGATCTTTGACCCCGCGGTTCGCCATGCCGCAGAAGAGAAAACCGCCCCGAGTCCGTAGTCCGAGTCTCGTTGTGGGTGGTGTAGTGCACCTCCAGGCCGCACCAGGTCCGGGTCAACGAGCCCCCCTGCCGTCACTGCCGGCCCAGGGGGGGGCGGGGGGTGCACCCGGGCACCCGCCGGGTCCGCCCGCTTTTTGGGGGGCGGAAAAGACGAGAAGGACGGAAGGACCGTCTGCGGCGTGAACCAGGCGTGGGAGATTTGTTTGTTTGCGAGTTTTCAGGCACCCTCCAAGTTTGGTGTGTGCCGGAAATGAACGACCCGTTTTGGGGGGGCTGAAACTGGAAAACGGAAGGACTTCTCTCTTGGCGAAAACGCTACCCCTCCCACCAATTGACATGGATGACGGTTCGGCGTCCTGATTTGGACCATTTTCCTTTCAAAGGGACTCTCTGTCAGGTTCCATGTGAAATGTTGGGTAGGCGAAGTTATATAAGGTAAGGCACCTTCCATTTGCTTAGTGCCGGAGAAACAGAAGAGTTAACTGGCGAAAATGCCGATGACAGCAAAATCCATTTCGCCCGGGCAGAAGTGTCAGAATGAAAGGGGGCCACAACCTTTGCCCCAAAATGCCGGGTTTGAGTCAAATTCGAACCCTGATCTCAAAACGGTCTACCCCAAACCCAGGCCGGAGATTCGCATCCATTGTGGCTCGGGTCCTTAAAACCCCCAAAGTCGCCAAAAGAGGCGACTTAAAAAGGAAAATACCGAAGTGACCCCTACCACATGGTTGACGTTGGAAAGGGAGCAACAAACACATAAAAATCAGCAGCTCAGTGGGGGTTTCCCACTACACCACAAGAAGCAAAAAAAATGCAACACGTGTCCCAACAATGAAGACCAGGTGTTCCAGCCCCCGTTTTTGAGCTCAAGCCAGCGACCCTACCCTTGAACCGAGCCAGATGGATCCAGGGTCCGCCGCCTGAAAGTCCACAATCAGAACCTTGGCCGGCGAACAAAGAGGCCTGAGTCCCTTCATCTTCCAGGACCCTGAAAAAGCAGTTGCCTTTGGCTGATTTTCCCTTTTCAACCAAGAGCAAAATTGGCGGAGTGTCCTTTTTCAAGAGCAAAATCAAGAAGGACCCGCTTTTTTTCGGCGGGCCCTTGGAAGACCAAGGTGATGCCCCTCTGAAAGCCCTTTTCACCGTAAGCCCCTGATGTTGGCCCCGAATTGGACTTGCTGTGATAGGTGGGAAATGTGGGAATGAGGTCAGAGGTCCCCTTAATAGGAACTAGGAACCACAAAAGAGGGTCTGTAAGACATTGTAAGGGTCATTGATCAGTCCCTGCCCATCACCAGCAAGTTGACCCCGAACGCGAGGGATTGTTTGATTACACCATGGGACCACACCCAAGGTGTCCAAAAAAATGTCGCCCTATGGCTGCAGTTTGCCCTCCACTCCCCTTTGGGGATTCGGGAGGGGTCTGTGGGTTATAGGCTCCCTGCTGATTGTGCTTGGACAAAACTTTTGGAAGTGCCAGTTTGATCCGCTTTTGCGGGAAAAGGCCCCCGCACATTTCCCTGAAGGGCATTTGCCCTGGTAGAAGGGTTTCCCACATCTTGCGTCCAGAAAAGAAGCACGTAGCTGGCAAAGTGAAACCAGCTAGTGAAAAAAGAACACCGGGCGACAAGGATCGCGATTGCCAAATTGTGCTCATGCTTGGTCGGTACTAAGTAGCTTTGTATCGAAATTCTCCGAAATGTCCCCTTGTTTCCAGAGGCCCTGCCAATCGCCCCCCCCCCCCCCCGAAAGAAATGGCTGTGGTTGTCAAAATCGTTTTGGGATCCCATTTTGGATCGGGTTTTCGGTGCAAAAACCCGTTTTAGAACCTATTTTAGTGGGGATTGGGATGGTCAATGGGGGTACGATTTGGCTTTTGACCCATGACTAAATAAGAAGACGCAAAATGTTTGAGGCCAAATACGGTCGAACGAACAACCCAAAGGCCCCCTAACCGGCGGAAAAAGGGGGGAAATCAGCAGACTGCTGACTTCCGAACATCACCCCCAAAGGCAACTCCAACAAAACCAGCCCGAGTGAACGATCTTGAACATGCAAGAAAATGTGGGGTCCCGACCCATGCATCATCAGGGTCGCAGGGGGGATGGAAGCCCTCTCCGCCCCTCCCCAGCTCCCCTGGTCAAGGACACAAAAGGAGGTGCTGGTTGTTTTTTCCCTGGCTCAAGACTTGAACCACTAAACCACAAGAAGCGAAACATGTCAACATGTTTCCCAACAGCCATGCAGAATCCACGTCAGGTCGGTTTTTTCACGGTCGGTACCTTGACTCCAGAGGCTCCAGAGAGATTCGGCGATTCGGCGATTCGGCTGCGAGCGGAGGGGCGGTGAGGTTCACCGTCTTCAAGGTGCAGATGAAGGGGCAGTCCATCAGCTTGGACCCAAAGTTCTCCCCGAACCTCAGACTCGCCTTTTTTCCGCGCGCAAGCGAGGTGCGGTGCGGGTTGCCTGGGACCCCGGAAATGGGGTTGTGGCCACCCGAACCTTTTGCTTGGTGCCGTAAGAAGAAGAAGTGCAAGTCACCAAGCTTAAAAACCACAGGCGCCATACAAAAAAAGAAAGTGGAAGTCACCAGGCATAAGTTTGGGTTGGAAAAGCCGCTTCAGGGGAATCTTGAGGATTCACGCGTCGCTTTTGAGGTTCAGGCCCCCTCAATGGTGGTTCTTCTTTGGTTTCCTTTAAAAAAATCCACAAAAAGGTACTTTCAGTCGCACAAACATGCAAGTGCCCACAAACATGCGGGTCTGGTGCATAGCCTGCATGAATCCACCACCAAAAAAGGCGGGGTCCGAAGAGGGGACTTCTCTTCAACAACCTACCCCGAAATGTTTTTGGGGGGGTGAGGCGCACTCTTTGGACTGGGTCCAATTCAAAGTGACCTCTCAAAGCGGACCTCGACTTGGAGATGGCTCGGAGCAAAGCTCGCGCCTGCTGAGTGCATAGCACTCAGATCCCCCTGACATACCCTAGAGTCCCGGTCCATAGGCCGGTCACCCAAAGGACTTGTCCTACGGCATGTAATCACTTCCCTTGGAACTTGAAAGGTCAAAAATTTCCCGGTTGTTGGCATGTGTTTAGGTGTTTTTTTTCCGGCATGTTGGTTCTGTTCCGTTTTTGGAATCCGGGCGGGGCTGCGAAACACGACAAAGTGTGCTTGCAAGCCCACAAGTTTAGGTTGTAACGCTATGGACGGCATCCTTACCGTTCTGAACTTCGTAACCAAACCCAGGTCCCTCCTTTGGAGCATTTTCCGGAGAAAAAAGAGAAAAGAAAAAAACTGGCAACCTGCCATGATGGGAGGCTACCAGGCACATGTTTCTCAAGTCGTCCCTTGCTTTGTTTATTCTCTCGTATGAGTCTGTTAAAGGGAAACCAAAAGGAAACCACCCATTTTCGGGGGGGTCCCCTCAAAAAGACACCCATATTCGTTTAGGACAACCCAAGATATGAAGAACCCGCAGCCCAAACGAATAACAGACTAGTGGTTTGTCACTTTCGATACAAACAAACACTTGGCCCACAAAAAAGGGGTGCACAGAAGTCATATCTTCTGATTCTGATTCATATTTAATCCGAGATATAACATATTTGTCGAGGAAACCGGTCAGAAAAACGACCGTGAGACCCGCCTGCCTGAAATGGAAGCTAACCCTGCAAACCCAGTGGGCTCCAATGGTGGGACGGCACCAGGCACATGTCCTCTCACAACTCTTGGTATGGTAAAAACAAAAAAACGTTTGCTTTTTGCAGCCCCCCAGTAAACATGAACAGAACTGAAACCTCAAGAAACCCGAACAAAGCATGCCCAGAGCAGGACGCTCTGGAGGGTTCACGCCCTAGAAGACCAAGCTGGTGCTGGTGCTGCGAACTCCGCTTCGCACCACCCAGCTCAGAAACCCAAGGGAATGCGTCGATTCCCCAACGCAAATCCCAACGTGGTAGTTCAGGGATCCTTACATTCTACACCTGAACATTGCAACTTGTAAATGGTGGGTTCCCTTTATTTTGGTGGAAAAAGCCATGTTTCAAGTGGGCAAAATGTATCTTTTAAGGAGCCCTGATAGTTTCATCCATGGTTTCTTAGGTGGTGCGAAATGGAGTTCGCAACCATCCACGGTATTCATAAACTGGCGCTGTTTTGTCAGTTGCCAAGAACGGAAGCTTCGAAGCCGCCAAAAGCTCATACACTCAGGTGACCTTTTGGAAAAATGAATGGGTTTCCCTGGCAAATGCAATAACACCCACTAAACCAGTGGAACCCGTCATCTACTTTCTATCCAAATTAAACGATCAAAAGGACGCCTATGCTCAGGAAACGCTCCAAAGGTTACCGGTGACTTCACCATTGGTTGTGTGGCTTTTCGCATGATTAGTAATGCAATATTTGGGTGTATCTCAACATGCTTGGAACATCTTGATGCGCCTGGAATGTTGGTTGCTTTTGAAAGGAAACCAAAGGGAACTTCCTGGTTTTCAGGGTTCCCCTTTATTTAAACACAACCCGACACGAATTTTAAGGCATCGATCGGCCGAACCGTTCTAAAGAGAAGCGTTCTTCTGGTTCGGCAAGGCACTGGCAGTTGGCAAAGGTGCAAATCCAGATAGGCGTGTAGATGGACAGCGACCTGTCCTGTGACTGCTCAGCTTCCCTCTTGTTGGTGGTTTGGAGCCCGGTGGTTTGGTGGTCAGGGGCAGTTTCCCGTTTGGCTATGAATTTTAATAAGGGGCCCTTTGGTGGACATCATTTAGGTGGGGATTCATGTCCACCCATCACTTTTGAGGTGGTCCCCAATTGAAATTCATGGCCATTTGCCCAAGAACCAGAGGTTCAAATCCCCAAATCCCCAAACCACCAATCCAAACCACCAACTGTAAACTTTGTGGACCTTCCACGGAGCTCCATTTTGGTCTTGGGGCAAGCTCTTCTGGGAAGCCAGGTCCAGCCAAGCAATTTGGAGCAGACCAAAGCAGTTTGAAGTCACGCGCCGAAAGGAAACCAAGCAAATGACCGGGGGGGGGGGGGCGGTTTGCTTGCTTTTCGGGGGGGACAAAAAGAACTCTCTAAAACATACAGAAACATTCTTTCAGGGGGGTCGCTTGCTTCACTGAAAACAGGAATGGTGTTCGGCAATGCGGCCTTCCCGACGGTTGGGACTCCCCCCCATTCCTGTGGTAGTTGAGGCCCCAACAGTGGAATCTCGCAGGAATCGGTACATAATGGTACATAGACCCCAATTCCCCTGTAAATATCAACAAGCAATGGCATCAACCATGGTTTCTAAATGGTGCAGGATTTTGTCCATCCAGTAGGGAACCCACAAAATGGTTGGGTCTCCTGTTCGTTCCCCCCCCCCCAAAAAAAAAAAAAAGTATCGAGCCAACAAAATCCACACACCCACACGGGGTTGTGCCAACATCGGGGAATCCCTCGCCCACCAGAAGGTATGCCCCAACAAGACACACACGTAGTGTGGGACGCCCTCATCTGATCGCTTGCACGAAACACAGGGGGAAAAAAAAAAAAAAAAAAAAAAAAAAAAAACGCTCCGGCCGCACGACGTGACTTGAAGCCTTCCCAGAACCCTGGCTCGTTGGTGGTTTAGTTTGGACCCATACCCATATCGCTTCTGCCCAGCTTCCTGAATGGGCGTAAGGCTCTTGAAAAGGGGAACGCTCCTTGAACCATTCGTTCTCAGGGCGTGGAAAATTGTTCATCAGCTGCCTGTGGTTGGTGGACTATCATTTCGCTCAAAATAAATGCGTCCACCAGTCTTTTTTGGCGGTCCCCGCCGAAGAAGTGGACATGGCATCGGTCAGGGAACCAGGGCAGCAATAAGATTGACCGATGCTATACCAACCTAGAGTAATTTGCCTCCAAAATGACAAGTCCCAAAGTGAGTGGTTTCTTTCTGCATTCCTCTCTTTGACAGCCTCAGAAAGAGAAACCCTCAACAAACCGGGACACGCACAGATCAGAATTCCCTCGAGTCGCCTCTGAACATCACGCCAAGATGAACAATATTCAATTGCCCCAGACATGTCAATAAAGTCCGCAGGCAGGAATTCCCATCACCCCAATTGAATTTGCCCAAGACGTGAGATGTCTCAAAGGAGTAGAAAATAAGCAGGGTCTCTGCAAATCCTGGTTGGAGTTTCTCAAGACGGTGGATCCCGTTCTGGTTGGTTGAAGGGAAACGAAAGGAATTCCTTGCCATTGTAGCAAGTCGATCGATTCGTTTCTTGAGAACCCTCGAACTGATGAAATGAATTCTTAATGTTTGTACTGGGCAGTCCTCAGATCACCTGCTAAACGTCAAACACTTTTAGCGGGTGAAGTTCGGGTGAACCCAACCACTATTTATCAACCAAAAAAACGGGGGGGGGAAAAGAGGAAACAAAGAGAAAAACAAACCCAAGCAAACACGAAGTGGATTTGGGAAAGAAAAAAAAAGAAGAAAGAAAAACATCACTTTGTACCAACCCACAACCCGGCACTCCAAGCTACCACATGGGTGTGGGTCAAAAATAGGTACCCAAAATGAAGCCTGCTAAATGGAAACATGGTTTCTAAAATCTGCGGTCCATATTTTGCTGGTTTAATGTTGACCCACACCCACATCCCATGGCTCTTCTTTCTCCGGGAAGCCAGGGCCATCTTGTCCACCGACTGCATAAAGTCCATGAAGCGTCCGCCCCACCAGTGGCTCAACATGATCTGCGCCGGCTGCTCCTCCGGCGACTTTTATTCGACTCAGAAGCCGGTGGACCTTGGGGTTAGGGGATCAAAAAAAAGAGTTAAGCGGATTTGGATTTCAACGACTAAACCACAATAAGCAAAAATGTATAAAATGTTGACTCAGAAGCCACGTCAGGTAGGTTATAACGTTGACCCAGGATGATAAACCCGTCCCATTATTGGGGGGGTGTTCCCTCCAAAAGTGGTCTGAATCCCCACTCAAAGGGGACCCCCCCAATAAAACATCAACCAGGGGCTCTGCTTAATCCGGGGTGAACATTAACGGTAATTTTGCTAAGGCAGCCAGCCTTTGAAGGTGCGACAGAAGGGATACAGCTTGTTCGCGGTTACCATGCCAAGGCAAGCCTTTGAAGGCATATACCAACCACGCAGGCCACATGAGTCGGCTTTTCCGAAACGGGACCACCATCTTAGATACTCTCCCTGAGCTCGCGAACGCGCGCTTGTCCCAAAACATCAAGATCCAATGAGCTACCCGCCTATTCCAGCTGCCAACACCCAAGTGCCTACCCCCAGCCTTAGATAGGACTCGGAGTTCCTTCTTGAAACCTTGGGAATACTGGAAGTCTGGGCCCCTAGAATTCTAGCCTGCAAGATGGGTGCTCATATTTAGGTACCTGTATGTTGCAACCTGGGTTTTCACGGGAGACGAAAAGGACACCCAGTGTTGATGGGGGCGCAATGTCGATTTCTCACTTGCTGAGTGGATTGGTCCAAAAAGGTGCCGCTGCAAAATGGCCGCGAAGTCCCATGAACACCCTCAATAGTTGTTGGATACATCTCAAATGATGTGTTGTTCAGGTCCCCAATGCAAAAACCCAAGCAAATTGGGGCAACCTCGTTGACCTTGCCAAGGGGACCCGATGTCTGAAAGGTGATCACCTTTTGGGGCCATGTTCTTGAAGATGCGGGTTTGCCTCTAAAGGGATCCCCGAAATGGGCTTTAACACCATGCAAAAAAGGGGGGACCTCAATAAAATACACAGCCATACTGTGGATGAACGAAATCCATTTCGCACCGCCTAACAAACCCTGGAATGATGATTCCCCTGTCAATACCAACAAACGTGATGAATTCCCATGGTTTCAAAGTGGTGCGAAATGGGACTTCGCAACCATCCACACTAGGGAACCCACAAAATCCCCCACAAAAGCACAACCCAAACAGGGTTATGTTGACCCAGGATTAATAAACCCGTCCCATTATTAGGGGGGTGTTCCCTCCAAAAGTGGTCTGAAACCCCACTCAAAGGGGACACCCCCCCAATAAAACATCAACCAGGGGTTCTGCTTCATCCGGGGTGAATATTACCGAGTCCACCGAAAAAGGCTTCGTCCACTTCAACGTCCCGCCTTCGCAGCGACGAACTCCACCCAGCTGTACCACCTCCGCTCATCGTCGATGTGCTCGCCCTCGGGGTCCACGTGAGGGATGACCTGACGCACGCATTGGGCGGATGTGAACTTGGCGGATTCGGGCGGGCGACTCTTTGTTGAGGCTACCCCATGTTGGTGGCAAAGAGAAACCAAAAGGAAAACCCCGATTTTTTGTTGATTCGCCATTCCCTACGTGTCCACTCACCCAATCTTTAAACAAAAAGAACATCAGTATGGATTTGCGGGATGGGGGGGGAGGAGTTCGAACGGTAGTTTGAGGGGAAACGAAAAGGAAAACCGCTGCCATGTTTGATGGGCTCCGACCTTAGAACAGACCTACCCATTTGAGTCACAATCGAAACCCGGTATTAGAATGGTCTACCCAGAACCATGTAAAGAATTAAGAAGGCGGATATCCGCAGCTATTCATGGTTGGGATTGTCCCTTACTAACCCGGGTTTTGAGGACGTGGCTCATTTGGGGGGGGTCTCTCAAAGTGGCCCCCGATGCCTTGGTATCGAAAGGGAGACTAAACGGCGGCCATCCATCTTTGTAGATCAGTTGGAGGAACTTCCCTCCCTTACGTTTGGCGTGGCTGGTTAAAACCTGTCACTCGGTGTCGCTATTGACCCAAAGAAAATCCACTGCGGATGGACAAAATGCTGCACCGCTTTGAAACCATGAGAAACCATCACGTTTGCTGGTAGTTACACGGGAATCAAATCATTGCAGGCTTCTTAGGTGGTGCAGGATTTCGTCCATCCACAGTGTCACTTGGTGTCGCTATTGAATGCCACCCAAAGAATACCTCGGAGCCGAACCTCGGGCCAGACATAGCAGGGCCATGTCTAAACCCACTGAGAGTAGGGTGTTTGTCCAACCCTTGTTTACTCAAGATCAGATTCCTGGTGAGTGAACATGTTGTGCCCAACCAACATGCAGAGCGTGTTTGTAAAGCCAAAGTGTTGGAACAACCCTGCTGTGAAGCCCTGGTTTATTGGTTGACGAGCCTCGCATTCATGGCTTAACGCTGGAATCCTTTCACCAGACCAAACTGGATTTCCCTCCGTTGGTGGGTTCGATACACTTGCCGATTCTCTGAGAATGACCCCAAGCTAAACCATCCCTTGTAGTGTAGTTTCACATGCATCCCTGGGTTCATTCCAACAATCCTTGAAATTCTCGCTGGGTGACCCGACGCGCGGCGCACGGAAAAACTCAGGAACCAGCTGTAAAGACCCACTCACGATTCAACTGGGGGAAACTCAAAGAAGCGATAAACATCGGGGGCCCAATCCCAACCCGCCACAACCAAAGAATCTTCCGGGACCCAAGGGTTGCTCAATCAACTAAGGGGTCTGCTTCTTGGAGTGCTGGCAAAAAGACGGCAGACCACGCCAGAAACCTCAGGGGATACTGTAGCAAAGGCCGAAATGTGGAAAGTGTCTTCCCGCGATCAGCATCCCTAGCATCGCCCGCTAGAAGGACCTGTTTTCACAAGAAGCCCGCATACGCAGCATCCCTTTTTAGCCCTCTTCATGTCCAGCCCAACTGCCTTCTTGTTCGACGAGTCCAAAACCCGAAATGAAGGATCCACAAGCAAACGACCTGATGCTGCAATTGTAATTCTAGAGAAGTCGCCTCTGCTCGACCAATCGACCAATGCACCAAGCGACCGACAATAAAAAGCAAAACCTCCATAAGCCTTTTGGGCCATTTCTATTTGCCTGCCCGTCGCAACTGTGCCCCCCTTTTAGACCCTGGAATTGGAATTGAAAGAAAGTGGCAACCTCAGACCCAATGTTCCACATGTGGAAGGGGGGAGAAGGACTACAGACTTCAGATCTGGTAGGAGGGTCTGTCCTTTCGGAGGGTACCCGGTACCTTTGTGCTGTAGGGAACCAAGAGGAAAATCGAAAGGCGCCATTCGTGGGACGAGCCACCCAGAGGTCAAAATCGGGCCCCATCCTGTAATGGTTCCCTTCAGAAAACACCGGCAATGGAACATTCCCGAGCCTTAAAAAACACACACACACACACACACACACCTGGGCTATCCTCAAATCCCCTGCCCGCGCCTTTTTGATTACCTCCGTGGTGATGTCGTACCTGGCGAAGCTGTTCCGGGTTTTGGGATGAACCGGACTTAACGGAAACCATAGGCGATGGGTCTAATAGAAAACACGCCAACTCATTCCCTACTGAACCCGCAAGTCTTCCTTTGGACACTTGAAACTCCAAGTCCAACCACTGGGTTCCAACTCTGAAGGCTCGTGCCTAGTTAGCTGGGTGTCTGTGTAAGTCAGGCTGCGTAAGTCACGCTGCGCAAGTCGGCTGTGTAGCAGGCAACCGTCTTTCAAAAGAACCCTTTCGCGATGCTTTCGGCAAATTGTGTCCCAGCAACAACCATGTAGTTCGGGGCTTCACACTAAAATAGGTTCTAACATGGGCGGTGAATTCACCTACCCCAACATGGGATCCCATTGGTGTTGACCCACGGCCACATGCTTCAGCAAGCTTCAGCTTGGAGTTTCCAACCAAAACCGAGGCACATGTTTAAGCTAGTCCAGGGGATCAGCTTGTTGTGCATGCCCGTGGTCCTCGAGAACTCGCTGGTGTGCTTCAGCACCTCTGTCCTAACGAAGTCCGAGCCCCAGCTGAGTGCTCAAAGCCCGGTATTAGCATGGTCGGTCCCCAGAACCATGTAAGGAAGCATTAAGAATGTGGATATCCAAAGCTATTTCTGGCTGGGATTGTCCCTTACTAGCCTTCATCTACCCGGGTTTTGATTGTGGCTCAGTTGTACTCAACTCCAAAATTCAACTGAAAACACGTGTTGTTCTCCCAACATTTTGGGTGAATCCCCTTTCTTCGTGGGTAGTTTGAGGTTCCAGTGAAGCCTTCTTCTTTGGGGGGATGTCTTTACCCCCCCCCCCCCAGATGTTAATTAGAGGCTTTTGCCCGGAAGAAAGGATTCCTTCCACCAAAAAGGGACCCCGCTGAGAAAAAACAACTGGTTAGTTAACCAGCAGGCGACATTGAAGGCTTTGCTTGGCTCTGTGGTTCCTCTGTTCCAGCCAGCAATTTGGGTGTGTGGTTTTAAGGTTGAACCCTTCGGTTGTCCTGTTGGTTTCCCTGTAAAGCCACAAAAAGAAGTGCCAACAACAAACAAAGACCACGAGGCGACCCTAAAAATAAACAAAATCAAAGTCAAGGTGTCAAGCACTTGCCGTTCACTGATTTTTGTTCAGGCTACAGAAGGGGCTGTCGGGAGCACATAATTGTCCAACCAGGCACCCGTCCCGAAATGTATGGTCCAAGCTTTGTTTACCGCCTTCTTTTCAGCGCTATGCGGATACCCGTTGACCCCCTCCGTGCATCAAAAAGTATTCCCTGCAAGCCAGGGAAAGTGAGATCAAAGAGTTGAAGCCAGCTGAAAAGTTTCGGGCTACCTCCTTGGCTCTTCCGAAAAAATTGGTCTTGTGTCTTCTAAGAAGTGGCCGTAACAAGATCCGGGTTCCAGCAGCAAATATTTGCGCCCCCGCAAAAAAGCCCGGGGTCTTTACGTCAAGTACTGACAAACCACCACTTAACTTAAGAGGGTCCCTTTAATGTTTAGCCGTAAACCTTAAACCCACCCACAAAGAGGGGTTAACATGTGTCGTAGGTCTATGAGGGTCTTTCTCAAGTTCTCCCTTTGCCCCTTGCCCCTTTTTCGAATCAAACCAACTCCCTGAAACCACCGGTCGGGCCTATCCCGAGCGCGCCCAAGAGAAAAGCCCCAAAACAGGGCCCAAAAAGGAACCGGAAAGCCTCGAAAACCATACTGTGGATGGACGAAATCCTGCACCGCTTTGAAACGATGGGAAAACCATGAAATAGAAATGAAAAGATGGACGAATCCAGAATGTATCTCATGTCATCTGGATTATTCATTGTGTCTATCTTTTTATATTGGTTCCTTTATATCTTTCATGTATCTAGAATTGGTTTGATTGTTGGCAACTATTCTCCATGCCTATCTCTCCCAAGCTGGTCGTTGATATTTACAGGGGAATCATCATTCCAGGGTTTATTAGGTGGTGCAGGATTTCGTCCATCCACAGTAGGGGACCTAAACCCGCGGGTCTTTGTCAAGTACCAGAAACCACAAGAAAGCCGCCCATTTTTTGTGGCTCCCTTAATTTTCGATTGGATCTTATCCTGAGCCTCGCGAAGAAAAGAAATAACAAAAACGAGGTTCTTGGTCAAGTACTGGAGGAAGCTGTGCAAGGTTCTCAGCTGCTTTATAGTGATGGCGCGCCGCTCCACTTCTTCGATGAGGTATGCCTTCTTGGCGCCCCCGTACCCGCCCACGCGTGCCTCGCATCGAATCGAGAAAGAAAGGGCCAAAAGGAAAGCCACGATTTTGGGGGTCCAGATCCCAATGCCAATGTTGACACATACCCATATGGCCGAAGACCAACTATCCATCGGCCCGACAGGAGGTCGGAGGGCAAAATGTGAGCAAAATGCGGAAACACCACTCTGACATTGGTCGCCTCTTAACGAAACCGTAACAATGATCCACAATCAAATGTAGAACTTCGCCTCAAATATCAACAAAGGGGGGTCCGCCATTTTGAGAAACGCTCCAATGTGAACCCCTGAATTCTGAATTGAGCCCCATAGTTTGCTGGCGAACTAACTGCCAATCTATGGCTCTTTGGTTGAAACATTTCACACTCCAAAATGGATTCCGGCTTAGCTTCGATATCAACCGAACAAGCAAAGACAATCAGCTAATCAAACTCTTCGAATTGAGGGTTCGAAGACACATCAACTACACGCCTCCGAAACAAAAACCAAACAACAAAAACGTTGGATCCGGGGGGTGGGGGGGCCATGGTTCAATACTTTGATCACCGCCCTTTTGCTCCAAAAGCCCAGTGGATGCCAAAAAAAAGGAAGAACCAAAAGGCCAGTTTGCAACTGGATCCCCTTGGACCCCACTTGGTATCATAGGCAGGGGGGTCGTGTTGCCACCCTTGGTGGAAAAATGATCGACCCATTTGTAGTGAAACATGCCTTGTTGAGGGGGTCGCCAATTGTCTCACAAGAGGTGGCAAGAAGACCCCCCCCGATGGGCAAATCCCCGCTCGATTCGGACCTTCCACACCAACCCGACGGCCTTTGTTGGGCGCCGGGGTCCCGTCCGCAGTCCGCGCCTCGCTGTTGTCCAGTGCCTCTTCATCGCTGCTGTCCACAGTCTCGTCCTGGTCCACCCAAGGCAGCACCATGGCCGAGACGCGGAGCCGCGGATCTGAAGCGCGGGGGGTTCCGGCCAGAAAAAAGAGGGGAAGGAAGGTGAGCTTTCGCGCCTTTGGCGCCTGTGTGGGCCCCGTCTGCCCCCAAAAAACAAATCAACATGGGCGGCGCCTGTTTGTTTTTTGTTTTTCCCCCCCCCCCCCCGTGGCTGTGTGTTGATTAGAAGCGCGCTGGTCTGACGAGTGAAAGGGCGGCGGTTCTCTTCACTGACAGGCTGTGACCACGAGGTTCCGAGGTTCAAAACGTCCATGGCGCCATGGGCCTCGCTCCACAATCTGGTGACGAAGGAAAAAAAGCAAAGAAAAAAAAAGGAAAGAAAAAAGGAAAAAATGAGACATTAGAAAAGAGAGAGAGAAAAAAAAAAAGAAACGGGATAAAAATAAGAAGAGAAAAATACAAGCACGCAGCAGACCCTTTGAGGTTCCGCAAGTCATGGCTTGCATCGCTACTCGGAAGTGAAGTTGAGCTAAAAACCGAGCGAAGTCCCGTGTCTGTGAGGGTAGCTGACAAGTGGGGGTTTGCAATCTATGACTAACCTCTAAGCTTAACATCCAAGCACCTCGACCCAACAGGTAACCAAAGATTACTCGCGAGCCATTTGCGGGGGGTGTCTAGCTCCGAAGCCCGGTCCAAGCAATTCATGAGAAAGCCCATCCACCACAACTGGCAGTTCCACATTTGGAGCACACTGAAAGTACCATGCGGGCTTGTCTCAAAATAGGGGAACCCTCAACACACTTGGGAAATAGTGGTTTCCTTTGACACACCCACAATCCTGCTCATACTCATTGAGCCCTTCAAAAAAACAAGTTTGGAGAAGATTCCCCCCACAAAACAGAAGAAGACAAAAACACACACACACACACACACAAAAAAAAAAAAAAGACGTCGCCCAATTTTCAAACTGAATCCGTCCGTCTTCGTTGAACCTCCGAAGCGAACTCGGAGCTCGCCTCACATCCGATCCCTAGGCTTGATGCCTAATGATGGCTGAACTCGAAGTCCGCGAGTCTCGCACCACCGAAATGAAACCGCACAAGTCCGTAGGCATCTGGATGAAGACGCCGGCAAAGATTGGGTGTGCCCCCTGGCAAAACTGGTATACCTGCACCCTCATACATATGGCTGTGGCTCAAAATTAACCGGGAGGGGCGGTTACTGCAGGTGTTGATCCATGTTTCCACTTAGGGCATCCCATTTTGGAATTCCGGTTTTTTGAATTCGCCACAGCCAAATGAAGCCAGGGGCCGGAAAGCAACTCGTTTGTTCCGGTGACAGGGGGAAAAATCTCTGAATATCCTTTGTTGCCGTATGTATGTTGGGGAGTTGTTTACCACTCCGCTGGGTTTCTGAATGGAGCGATTTCTGGATTTCGCGAAACCGTCCGCAGTAACTCACCGATGTGTAGTTTAAAAACTCCTTGGCATCATGGTTCCGTTTTTTGCGCAATGACCACCAGCTCAAATTCTGAACATCGCATGATTTTCCGTGTGCAAAAACCCTATGGAAACCCATACGGGTTTCTGCGTGGGAAACCAAATGTTGAAAAGTGCTCCATGACCTACGGGTCCCTCGCCCCAAGAAAAACAGGCGCTCTGCGCTTGGATGGCATGGAATCGTCTGAAGCCCCGAGCTGAAGACACGACCCCCGATATGTTCCGAGCCTCGTTCACTTCTGACATGTGGAACTGCGGGATCGGTCGTCTTGGCATCACCTTGGCGCAGCTTTGCTCCGCGCTTGGCACCCTTTGGATTAAGAAATCCCCACGATTTTTTAAGCCACCGCTCCTGTTGAGGGGGTCAAACGTGTTGTTTCACTGATTTTTCATGTTTGACATCCCCTAAGCTATAGAGTGTTCACCACTGAGCTGTGGTCAGTAAGGCTCTCTGCCACCGAAGCTCGGGGCCAGTTCCTGGATGTGAATCTAGCCGCGTCACGCACCACATGACGAACCCCACCTCCCCACCCACCCCCCCACCACCAAAAAAAAAGAAAGAACAAACCTCCGAAAGGTCGTTGTACCTCCTCAGGTCGTTACGCTTCGCCTCCTAGCTCCAGGCCTTCGAGCCAATCTAGGCGCCCTGCCCGCACCTCCATGGCGGCAGGCGGAAGAGCTGCTCTTTAGTTTGATACGCCGAGCTGCTGCATGCGCCGGTTTCAAAGGAAAAGACATGGCAAGCCCAAAAGATCTTTCTGGGGCTTGAGATGAGTTTCGATTAACCCAGTTGAAAGCGGCGTTTGGAGAATGACACCCATACCCCACATGAACTGTCGGAAGTTGTTGGGATCTCATTTGAGCAGCGCCCAGAACCCGCTGACTGTTGACTCTACCAAGATGCTTCTCAAGATCTATGTCAATGTATTTGCATACATATATGTGGGCCCGTGCATACAGATTTGCTTCTTCGCAATACATGTATACAAGCCTAGAACCCCATTGCAACCAAGGAGTACGGGGTTGGGCATTTTGCCTGTTGCTCTCCGAGCCATTCTGCAGACTGCCGGCATGCCTCAACATAGAGGACCCCCAGGTTTGCCCTTACCATGGTTGGCAGAAGCCCCTCACAAATTCCTGCCCATCTTCGTAACCCAGGCAAAAGTATTTGACGGCAAAAGGATACGTTCACCCTTTTGCACATATGGGCCACAATGAGCCGCGGTCAATATTCTCTGCTCCTGTGAGAACATTACCCCCCCCCCCCACTCCCCCGTGGTGCCTATGTTTGCTTCATTTTGAGCGCGCAGGCTGTGTTGTTTAAGCTGTGTTTGCAGCAGACTTGGGCAGAGATGTGCAGGCTTGCAGCCCATCATGTCCAGTGCATCTAGTTTTGGGCAGACACCAACTCCATTGCACAATTCCAAGTATACGCTCAGGTGATATCCCCAACAGCACGCGGTGATCTTTTTTAGCGCTCGCACCTCGCCGCTTCGTGGAACCAAACCTGGTGGAACCCTCGTGGAACCTTACCTCAGGACCGCCCCGGAGCCTATCTGGGCTGTTCGGGAAAAACAATCCAAGCGAAAATGTATCAACATGTAGACATGCTAGGCGCCTCTGGAATTCATAGAAACTGGACCCACGTGGAGACGTTTGGTACTCCTAGCACAAAACAACTAGAATGCAGGTGGCCAGAAAACATGACTTACTCTGTTGTAGACAAGATTAGCCGCGTTCTTTGCGCAGAAAAAGCTGTCTTTCTGTGCAATGTCTTTGCGCAAGTTTCTCTGCGCAAGTTCTCTGAGCAAGTTTCTCCGAGCAAGTTCTCTGAGAAAGTGTCTCTGTGCAAAAGTACCTCTTGCACACAAGAAATGCAGATGTTCTGGATTGAAGATTCACAATTGCCCAGGAAGCTTTCTCCAACATCGTGACTCCAGAAAAAGGCCATAGAGTCAGTTTGAGACAATAGTAATGTAAAAGCCATTTTACTCTGGTTTTGGACGGAACGCAATTCCATGGTAACAAGAAGAGAAAACAAGCGTTCCAAGCAAGATGTAGACATGCCGGACCCCCGGGAAATTACAGAAACGGGGCCAACAAACGAAAAGTGAAAAGTGAATATCGCTGGAACAAACAAGGAGCAACAAGCATCTTTCCAAGATTGAAGAATCACAACTGCCCAGAAAATCATTGTCCCGACAACGAAGCTTATTTAACATTCAAGCTTGCCCATGCAAATGGTTGTGAACCATGTTTGCCAACGTGCCCCCTGAAATGATGCCTGTTGAATCTAGACTTCTCAATACAGCATTTAGATCCAAAATGCAGAACTTCTGCGGGACTTTGGGGAAGTCTTCTATTTGAATGTCTCCCCCTTAAAACTCTAAGAACCGCTATTCAGACTTCTTAGCACTAGCACTCAGATTCCTTAGTACCGGTATGAAGAAATCTGGATCCAAGATCAAGATCCCAGACTACTAAGGGACTTTTGAGGGAAATGTTGGATCCATGAATGTTTCCACTGAAGCCTTAATACCGGTATTAAGGGTTCTTAGTACTTTATTTAGATCTCTTAATATCCGGTGTTCAGGAATCTGGATCCAAGATCCAAGAATCAAGATGGCTGGATGGCTGTTGAGGGGAATATTGGATCCATGAATGCTTCGGTGAAACCTTAAAACCAGTATTAAGGTTTCTTAGTACTGTATTGGGATTTCCTAATACCCGATATTAAGGAATCTGGATCCAAGATCCAAGATTCAAGATTGCTTGGGGACTCTTAAGGGAAAGCTGGATCCAGATTCCTGAATACCGGTGTTGAGGTTTTTTGCACTGTCTGGGTCACAGCATGATTTGGTTGCTGCTGCCAGATTGTACATAAATATATGAAATTCAAGATTCAAGAATTCCAGAAAAAGATTGTTGTGAAATCCTGAATCTTGAACCCAATAATAATAATAATAATAATAATAATAATAATAATAATAATAATAATAATAATAATAATCCTAATCATAATAATAAATAAAAACAATAATAATAATAATAATAATAATAATAATAATAATAATAATAATAATAATAATAATAATAATAATAATAATAATAATAAATAATAATAAATAATAATAATAAATAATAATAAATAATAATAAATAATAAATAATAATAATAATAAATAATAATAAATAATAATGACAATAAATAATAATGACAATAGTATTGACAATAATAAATGGCGACAACAAAAATGTGGTTTTCACATTGAAAGTCTTCCAATCTTGAATCTTGGATCCAGATTCCTTAAGAACCAGTATGCATAATTATGGCAAACTCCCCGTCCTTGGTGCCCATGCTTGCCCAAAAAATGCCAAACAAGTCCGGAAAAAGATGGTTAAAAAACAGAGAACCATAGGCACCGGGGGTAAATCCCCCCCCCCACCAACGAAAAGAATTGAATCCAGTAGGGGGCAGTCCAAACGCTCAAAAGCGCTTTCATCCAGGTAGGTCATGGATTCAACATTCAAGAAGAAGAGTCCTGGGAATCTTCGATCTTGAATCTTAGATCCAAAAGTGCTTTATAGCTCTTTAAAGTGTCTGGCTGA